CATGTCTGTCGCTATTTTCCATTTAAAAAGTAAGTGCCAAGAAAACACATTTGCTTAACGAAGTAAATGGGAATGAAAGGACTTTTGATACAGTAATGTCACTCAACGCATTAACTCCTTCTCCATTAAATGCCAAAATCGTAGCGTGATCTATCATAGAAAATTATCCCAAATCATCTGTCACTTGACAACTCTATTAAGTCCCCTTCAGTGTGTTGAAAGCCAAGAACAAGAAACCACCTGACTTGCAAGAACATTTGTTACCTAGTCACTCTCTCCGTTTCTGGGAAATATAAGAAATGTTTTGCTAATTCTTATCTTTTAATCATGTCTATTCCCTTGTTAAAACCCAACAGACTCAGAAAAAATTGGGAAGCTGAACCATTGCTCTTTTCAGTGCACTTTTGCCTCTACAATGTTTTAAGTAAAATCTTTTATCTTAATGCACACTTCGTATGCATCTCTGTCAAATGCTGGATCTACAGAATTAGTTCATTAAGTTATGAAAAATGCCCTTCCTATAAACCTCAATGGCCAAGTCAGCGCTTCACGTAAGTGGCGAGGTGATGAAATGTTTTCTCTTTCAGGGGGAGGGGTGGCTTATGAACAAGTGTTCAGTTACAGAGGAGAGAAATTGAAATTTCTGTATATATATAAGTTGTGATCATAAATTTTCAACCGTTTCTGACTGTTTCTAACTCTTACTTTTGCCAATCACACTGTCATTTTACCATTCACATTGGCTGGAAACCATTGGACCGCCTTTTTTTTTTTTTTATCACTCAAACTATAAAGTTATCTCTGACCATTTTATGTGGGGTGGCGGGATGGGAAGAGGGGGTTTTAACAGGGTCTGAAGACATGTTATATATTTAAGTAAACACGAATGAGAAGAAAAACTACGTTTTTCTCTAACCTTTTAAAAAACTTCTTGAGCACCAAATAAACAGTGCTAAAAACATCCTTGATGAATTAATTTAAATGTCAATGACTTCCCCACATAAGGATTACTTTGCCTCTAAATCATCCATGTAAAGAAAATGATGTTTTGCAAAAATTAAACATGGCTCATTATTAATTCTATCACATCTGATAAGTGGCAGAGAGGGGCCCCGTAGAACCATGTTGGCTTAGTGACCAAGTGGGATGTCTAGTTCAGCACAGACACACTATGGGAAACTGAAAAAGGGCCCCCTGGGGCTTGGTTCTGACCTGGGTGATGTTCAAGGTCATGGCCTCAGGGTACTGTGTGGGTCCCACTGGAAAGGCTCCCTGTGGGAGGGAGCTGGGCTGTTTACGATGGGGAGGTTGGCTCGATCCTTCAGTAACATCTGTGCGGCTCCTTTTGGAGTATCTCCATCCCCAACAGTTCCCGCTCCATGTTTTTCTGCCTTGCTCATGTCTGTTCTACTTGTGATCCTAGGAGTTATACCCTCGCTACCCAACCTTGTCCAGTGCCCCAATGTCTGGGAAAACAAGTGAATGGCATAAGACAATAGCAAGATAACAGAGGCAATGGTTTTTTTGTGTTTTTTAAATGTTGGATTTAGATAGGACACACAAGACACAAAAGAAAAAAATGGATAAATTGGACTTCAATTTTAAAACCTTTGCACTTCCATGAATACCTCAAGATTATGCAAGGAACTTTTATAATTCAACAGTAAGATAAAAAACGAAATCCCTCAAAACCTCAAAATGGGCAACGGACTTGAATAAACATTTTTTCAGAGAAGCTATGCAAATGGCCAACATTTTAAGAAATGCAAATCGAAACAAGTACCACACCATCCATGCCCCTGGGATTCTGTAATAAAAAGATGGATAATTATAAGTTAGATGGCTATTAACTGCTCTGGAAAATAGTCTGGAAGTTGCTCACAATGTTGATGTGGAGTTACACTTTGGCCCAGAAATTCCATACCTGGGTATGCAGTATATACCGGTACCCACAAGGATAAAACATACCCACACTCAGCCCTGCACAGGAATGCTCACGGCAGAATCATTCATCAGAGCCAGGAAGAGGGAACAACAGGAATGTCCCTCAGCAATGAGCAGACAAGCAATGGGGGTGCATCCATGCAGGGAGTGTGGGTGCTAAGGGCTCCCACTGGGAGCCCTCTCCAGGCACTGCCTCCAGCAAAGGAAGCCCTCCCACTAGGGTCACTTCACACCCCAGGACGGTTCAATGTGGGGGTTCCAAGGCCTGGACCCACTTCAGGATAACTCTTAAAAGCCATTTTAATTTCAGAGCTTTGCATTGGATTGCCTGAGGCCTTTTAAAAAATAAAAATATTTTTAATGATTTTAGAAAGAGAAGAAAGGAGAGGGAGAGAGAGAAACATCAGTTGGTTGCCTCCTGCATGCCCTTCACTGGGGATGGAGCGCACAACTCAGAATGAGTCCTCACTGGGAATGAAACCAGTGACCTCTCAGTGCATGGGACGATGCTCAACCACCTGAGCCACAATGGCAGAGCATCTTGAATGGCTGCAGAACAGCTGCCTTCCCTTGCCCGCCCGCTGCCTTCACTCCCCCCAGGAGTTTCCCCCAGCAGCACTCCTCCGTAAACTCCTCAGCTCCAATTTCTGAGTCCTGTTCCCCGAGGAACCACTCTGAGCGGTAAGACACCGATTTGGACCACCTAGAGCAGCTGGCTCAGCCCAGCCAGCGCCGGGGAACCGCTGATCACACTGCAGGCTGCTCTGTACCGCCTCTCTGGCTGTGGTGATGACAGGGGAACAGTCATCCCCGCGGTTAGCCAGACGTGTGAGTTGCTGGGGAAATGGGTGTTACATCATCATCTAAGCTAAGCAGGAACAGACTCTCCGAGCTCTTGGGCCACAGAGTATATATATTTTTAAATATATTTTTATTGATTTCAGAGAAGGGAGAGGGAGAGGTAGAAACGTCAGTGATGAGGGAGAACCATGGATCAGCTGCCTCCTGCCTGCACGCCACTGGGGATCCAGCCACAACCCAAGATGTGCCCTGACTGGGAATCAAACCCTGACTTCCTAGTTCATAGGTCGATGCTCAACCACTGAGCCACCGCAGCCAGGCAACCATGGAGCATTTTTACGGAAAAAGTGAACTGGTGTGGCTAGCAGAGATGGCCACAAATTCCTTGACACACACAACCCCCACCCCATCAAAAGGAGGGGTCTGTGTCAGCTCCCCGGGAGTCGGAGGGGAGGGACCTTTGGCTGTTTTGACCAATAGAAGGTGGAGGAAGGGAGGCTGGGGCAGTTCCCAGAGCCAATCCGTGACAGGTTGGCAGCTCCTAGTTCCTGTGCTTTGGACTCTCTCTCTGCGGTCCCAAAGCTGCCACGTAGGACGTCCTACTTCCCTGAGGCTGCCCTGCCGGGGAGGCCAAATACACACGCTCTGATGGACATTCCCAGCAGAATCAACCTTCTAGCCGCCTCCCTCCCACAATGCACCACGCATGTGAGTGAAGCTGTTGGATCATCCCAGACCCACTCATCTTCCATGTGAACCCCGCTTAGTGACCTTGGTCAACCCTACTCGGAGCAGAAGAATCACCAGCCAGCCTCTAAGAAATCCCTGCCCCACAACATCAGGACTCAGCAAGATGGCTGGTTCTAATTTGTGTGCAGCAACAGACAACCAGATACCCCCTCCTGGGACCCCTCAACTCCTCCTCGAACTCTCAGCGCCTCCTGGGAATGGGGCAGGGAAGGGAACACTTGGCTCCTGTCTGCTTGACAACTTGCCTAAACCTAATCATTAATTAGCAACCGCCCCAGAGGTAGAACGTATTTCACTTGAGCCTTTCATCAAGTGTGTTTCCACTAGCCACGCTGTAGGGTCTTGTTGTGAGGAAATGAAATGGTGGTAAATCATTATTTGACAGAACCCAATAGTGGTTGAGGATGATCGCCCAGACATGGCCCCCAGGGGGACACAGACCTCTGCTTCCAGGCCTGAGGAGAGCAGACCCACAGGGAACCGGGTCTGAGGTTTTAATGTAAAAGGAGACAGAGGTGTGCTCATATAGAACCACCCCAGGTCCTGGTTTCTCCAGAAACAGGACTAACTTAGATGCTCCCTGTGCTGTCTCCAGGAGTAATGTCAGTGTCGGAGTGTGTCCAGATGCTCCGTGTGTGAGATGTGGCCATCACGCTTGCACTTGGGGTTCTTTTCCGAGTTGCTCACTGAATCCTTGCCACGAGGCGTTCTGAGTCTCTTGGCTCTCAGGACTGGCCCGTTAAAACCTGCAACCTTTTATAAGCTCCAGGGACAGTACGAACATCAGCGGTCTTACCCGCCTGTACTTCTCTACAGGTGCCCCCGGAACAACAAAGCAACACCTTGGAAATAAGAGACTCTCATACAAGACAAGGAGCCATAGCTCAATCCAAGCCCATGTTTCCAGGTGGCCATGCTATGGCCAGCAACCCTAGGCTCCCTGAGAGACAGGAGGGAGCGGAGACCCCCGAGTCCTCGGTGTGCAAACACTCTCCTGTACACGCGCGATCCCCATGCTCACAGCGACCCTGGGAGGCGGGGGCTGTGTCTCATCAGTAAGAACACGGAGTCCTGGAGCGTGAAGCAACTTGCACAAGGTCTCACGGACAGTGAGGGATGGGAAGGCGGGTGGGGGGCATGGAAACTCAGGTGTGTGTGTCTGAGTTCAAGTCCACCTTCTTTCTAATTGTGATGCTGCCTACCATCCTGAAAGGCGCTCAGAGCTCCCGCCCTGCTGGTGCCAGCCCAGGGGGCAATGCCCATCCAGGATCCAGCGCGGTGGATGAGGGCTTTCTACCCACAACCGCGATGGCACGGAGGCTTCTCACCACGCCAGGTGCCGGCAGCGGGCCCGCTCAGACCCAAAGCTTTTGCCTGTCGGGGAAGTTCTTGGTGTCTCACTCGGCATCTCACAATGAATGTCATTAAATAGGTGACAATCTATGCAAGCCACGTTATTGACCACATACTCTGCCCACATACAAATATGCAAACGCTGTACGTACCCACACAGCTGTGCCCGCGGGAGGGCCTGGCGCCGGGCCCGTCATCATGGGCCGCAGGGGCCGAGGTGAGAAAAGGCAGGAGAAGGAGCAGAGGAGCCGCCAGAAGCACTTTCCAGGGGGACTTCATGTTGGGGCTCCGCACCAAAGGGGTCAGGGGGCCGCAGAGCCGCTGGCTGAGTGAGGCTGACCTCCAGGCGCAGACCAGAGCAGTCTCGCCCCTCCTCTTCTGCCCTCCAGCACACACCACACGCACCCCACGCTCACATACACGCTGTGGATGAAGTATGAGGCCAATCAAGGCGAACACACACTCACTCGTCACTGGCCGCTACTGCAGATCCCGGGAGAGCCCGGGCGGGAGAGGGCAGGACCCTGCAGGCAGCCCTCTGGCTGCAAGCTGCCCAGAAAGACACACCCGTCTGTGCTTTCTGAGAGGTTGCGGCCCAAACCCGGAGCCCGGGGTGGGCAGGAGGCACTTCCCCTTTCCTTCTCGCGAAACTAAACTAAAACTAAAACTGCAGAGAAAAAAAAAACACCCAGGAAACCACAAACACAGCGCCCGCAGCGACTGGCTCAGTGGCCCACAGCCTGCAGAGATGGTCTGTTTGCTCAGAAGCTATTCCGTTTGCTACAAACAGCTTTTGGGGAGGCCACCTCCTGACTTTGTTGCCAGAGTTATTAAGGGGCCAGGCCTCCAGGCCTCCTCCGGCCACTGCAGGATGTGCAGAACATGAGCTGGTGACAAAGGGGTAGGGGGTGCAGCAAGGGGGATGGGGGTGCAGCGAGGGGGATGGAGGGGTGCAATGAGGGGGATGGGGGGTGCAGCGAGGGGGGTGGGGGTGCAGTGAGGGGAATGGGGGGGTGCATCGAGGGGGATGGAAGGGTGCAATGAGGGGGATGGGGGGTGCAGCGAGGGGGATAAGGGGTGCATTGAGGGGAATGGGGGGTGCAGCGAGGGGGATGGGGGAGTGCAATGAGGGGGATGGAGGGTGCAGCGAGGGGGATAGGGGGTGCAGCGAGGGGATGGGGGGGGCTGCAGGATGCTGAGCCTGGGAAGGAAGCCCTGGAGCCACCACATGGCCTTCTCACCAGTGCGTTTGCAACCCCCACCTGGAGGCCATTTCTGCTTTCTAAGAGACTGGTTTTCTGTTTTGAAGTTGAGAAGGAAATGCGATTTTTTTTTTTTTTTTTTTTCTGGAGAAAACAAACACACACTGTACAGAACCAGATCATTGAGAGAAGAGACCAGTCCTAGGTGCTTTTGCTTTTTGAAACAGTAAACTCACAACTTACAGGAAGCATACACATTCTCAGACCAGACAAGGGGGCTGGGCCACCATCTAGACAAGCCTGGCTTCGGCGCCTTGCAGTCTCTGCTGGGCTCCCAGGAAGCTTTTTGTAAACTCCATCAGATACTATCAAAGCTACCGACTCGGTCGAGGTCTCTGCTCCCCCTCCCCCGAGTCCTCCAGCGTTGGCATAGGATGGCATTTTGGGTGGCAGGCAGGATTTTAGGCTTGTGATCTTCCTGTGACAGGCAGTTAGATGTGAGCAGTGCCAGGAGGATGGGTGCTCCCCAGGCACAGAAGGTCAGCAGGGCAGGAAGTCCTGAGGGCCTAGCAAAGCACAATTGTAGGGTGGGGCCTGGCCCCTAGGGTGACTTTCCTCCCATAGCACGCCCTTTCCTCCCTAACAATAACATCCTGGCCTCAGTCCTTTGTCTGCCCCAGGCCCAGAGAAGCAGCAAAACCAGCCACAGCTGCCTCAGGACCAGCTGCTTTGACTAATGACCCTGCCCTGGGAGGGCCAATCAGTGGAGAGCTGGACCCTGAAAGGTCACACCTGGAAAGCTGCTGCATAGTCTATTGTGACATTCCCCTGGGACCACCCTGAAATCTCCACCTTAAAGCCCTCAGGACAGAATCCCCATTAGCCTTCTCATCTCTCTCTTCTTCTTCTCTATAAAATAAAAAGTCAGGGCTTAGGATCTGGAAACCATCTTTTTATGGCTTCATAATTCCTCAGAGCACTCACCACCCCCCCCCCCCCCCAAGCCTTCTCATTTTCAGGTTCAAAGAGGGACGCAGAGATCAGGAAGTGATTTTGCTAACTGAGCTGAAGCCACTGCATGTGCCCACACACCACAGAACCTTCTTCCTGCCCCCGTTGGCACAAGTGGCCCTCAGCCTGCTGGTCTCCTCTTCCCCGCAGGGCTGTCTGTCCCCTGAGCACTGAGTGCCAGTGGCCTAGGATCTCTGCCCAGCTCGCCGGAAGGCCCTGCGGCTCATGTAAACTGGTTGGACCCCGTTCCGTGTCCCCAGAGGACCCTGCCTGCTCGATGCTCCAGTCCCATTTTCTCCCAGACAGCACTGAGAATGGGATTTCCTCCTGGAAGCGCCTTGGTATTCACTTCCCTCAGACAGCCCCGACTCAAACCACAGGCTGTCCCCCCCCCCTCCCCCACTTCTTCCCTCCCCTGCCCCCAGCAGAGGGCTGGGTTTATAATCCCCAAATGTTCCCCCAGTCCTGGCTTGTTCTGTCTGGATAGACTTCCTAATGACATTCTCACCAGCATTGGCCTCAACCATCGCCTCCACAGCAAGTTCCTTAGAGAAAATCACAGGAGCCGGCGGCAGGACCTGGCGTAAAAGCGAATGCTCTTCTCTCTGACTCTCCCGTTTCCGACACCAAGCGTCACTCATTGCTCCTGGCTTCCCAGGATGCTCCAGGTCGTGTGTCCAATTTTGATCAAGAAGCTCTTCAAGCTCTTTTGGTGCAAAATTCTCAAATTACCCAACAAGAGCTTGCGACAACTTTAAATTGTTCACAAAAAAACAATTTCCAATCAATTGCGTGCACTTGGCAAAGTCCAAAAGTTTGGAAAATGGGTTCCTCATGAGTTGACCGACAACAACCGTAATCAAAGAGTCACAATTTGCAGTTCGCTCCTCTCTCGTCAAAACTGTTTGCCGTTTTTAGAGCAAATTGTTACCGGAGATGAAGAATGGGTGCTGTATGTTAATTTGAAAAGGCAGCCTCAATGGTTGGACAAAAATGAGGCTCCGCAGCCCATGTCAAAACCTGACTTGCATGCGAAAAAAGTGATGTTGTGTGTTTGGTGGAATTTTAAAGGAATTCTTCATTATGAACTTTTACCATCTAACCAAACCATTACAAGTGTAGTGTATAGTGCCCAATTGGAAATGTTAGCCCAAGCTTTAAGAGAAAAAGAACCTGCGCTGATTAATTGGAAGGGCGTAATTCTTCACCACGATAACGCACGACCGCATACTGCAAGAATCACTGCTGAAAAACTGCGCCAGTTGGAATGGGAAGTTCTCCCTCAACCTGCATATTCTCCTGATATTGCCCCTTCCGATTACCATTTGTTTCATTCTTTGCAAAACTTTCTTCTTGGAAAAAAATTTAATAATGAAGAATGCCTCAAAAATGCATTGACCGAATTTTTTGCATCAAAACCACAAGAATTTTACAACAGAGGGATTAAAATGCTTCCTGAGCGTTGGGCACAAGTAGTAGAAAACAACGGCAACTATATTGTTGATTAAATTTTGTTGTATTGTTTAAATAAATTCGATTTAAAAAAAGTATTAGAAAACGACATTAATTATTACTAGACCTAATACAACATTACATGTTCTATTCAATGCCGATGTTTGACTTTTAACATAAACCAATAAAATAAAATAAAAATTTAAAAATCAGCCTCATTTAATTGGACTCACAGTCTTCCACAAGGTTCACTCACTCAATACATATTTATTGATGACCCACTATTGATGATCGCCGTGCAGTCAGGCACCGTGGCAGGCATGGAAGTTAAGAACACTACAAAGACCCCTGCCCTCACTGAGTTTCTATTTCATGGAGTCACACCTGACTTGCTGTGCCTTCTGATAAATCTACTTGGATGTGGTGCCAGCGCTCCTGCTTCCTTCTGTATTCAGGCACCTGATTGGAGCAGCAGCTGTGTGACAGGTCCCTCCTTGGCTACGTCCAGAACCCGCCACACCCACCGACCAGGAAGCTGCCACTCGGCTTCATGTTGCCCAAGTGGGTACAGAGGCTGAGCTCTAGGGCTTGCAGCATGTGATTGCAACACTCCTGTGTTGACCGTAATCACATTTCATAAACATAATGAAACGGCTTGTACCAGGAGATCAATGACCTGAGGCTTTTTTATCTGATCCTCATTGATCACTTCATATAAAATACTACAGACCCAATGCACGATATCAGCCCTGGCAGCCCTGGCTTTGTCCGAAGGTCATTCAGAGGGTATCTGGAAGGTCATCTGCTGTCCATTCTAATTAGCATATTCCGCTTTTATTATTATAGGTTATTATAGATATTCTATAGTCTCACACCCCTTTGCCATTCTGATGAAGACTGTATCCTCTAGAAAAGGATTTTGTATTTGCCAATTTTAATTCCCAATGAATTTTTTAAAAACCCTGGGCCCCTGAAACTCATTTATTTATCCACAGGTCTGGAAGGCCTTACTTCTCTCAACTTCTTATTCTGTATTGCATCTGTGAGCACGTCCCCTGGACTGGTGATTTCCTCTCGAGATGTAGGAACTTTGATTGAGAAATCGTGAAAGTTTGGGCTCACCTACTTCCACATCAGCACTGCGGTGTGGTCTCTCTGGTGAACAGGAGCATTGGGGTGAATGTTGTCCTGTGGTGTCTGGCTGTGGTCATGAGGCCGTGTGCTGGGAACCCCAGCCCAAAAGCTGTCTTGCTGTTCCCAAGCCAGTCACTCTACATCGGTTTTCATTTCTTCTTCTCAGTTAGTGGCAATAAGACCAGAGTTCCTTTGTCTATTGACATATCTGAATGACCTCCTTTATTTCTGTTTGGGTCCTTCCTTTTGTCTTTTACACCGTCTCGGTCACTCAAGAGAAACCAGTGAGGGCGGTCTCCCTTTCCCAGCCATCAGAGGATGATCTCAGGGACTAAAATGGCGACATCAATTGAGAATTAGTTTATGACATTCATTTTTCAGTGTGTTCGCCCAGATAACAGCCCACCAAAGACGTTCATGACCTAGCCTGGGAATCTGGGAAAATGAGTTTCTTTCTTTCTTTTGAATATATATTTTTACTCATTTCAGGGAGTACAGGAGAGGGAGAGAGAGACAGAAACATCAATGATGAGAGAGAATCATTGATGGGCTGCTTCCTGATAGCCCCACACTGGGCATGGAGCCCACAACCCAGGCATGACCGGAAATCGGACTGTGACCTCCTGGTTCATAGGTCAACGTTCAACCACTGGGCCACACTGGCCGGGCCAGGAGTTTCTTAGTTGCTTCTCAGTTCTTTGCTCCACGTCAGCACAGCCTCAGGGCCAGGAT